CATTTAGTGTTTAAACTGTTAAGTGTTTTTAGAGGGCATCTCTAGTATTTGTGGTTTTTAGAGCCATTTGCAGGCCAACTGTGGTAGATGGTAAATATGGCAAGATTATTATTTTAGACTTTATTTAGGTTGACTTCATTTAAAAAATAAAAATAGGTCTTCCAACAGGAAACTGATCCAAATCATATGACCAAATATACACAGAACTAGTTCTCTGTTCAGACAAACCAATGTTCTCCCCAGCTAAGTCCCGAGCTAAAGAAGTGAGAATCTCTGGGCAATCTGGAGAGAACGTGCAAAGAGAAAATAGCCGAATATCCTCCTTTCCGCACACGCCAGCCTTGTAAAATGTTATGGGAAAAGACTAAGTGCTATCTTATTGGCAACAGGGGGTTGAACAAAGTGTTACCAGTCGGGGCTCCAATCACTGTTGAAAACAATTATTCCCTAATGTAATTTTGCCCGTTAAATAAATGTTCTCGACGTGTTTCAATGCGAGGCTGTGCTTCTACAACATAGGAGGAATTTATTTAAAGCTTATTACACATTACCAACCTGGGGTGCCAATCTGTACTGGTTGTGAAGGTAATCATGATCGCAGTGGAAATTTTTAAAAAGCGATCCATCATAGCTTTTTTTTTTATTACCATCATCAAAGCAGCAGCAGTGATGGTGTAGGAAATGCTACTATAATCTCCATATGAGTTCATTTGCAGCCGATACTCTCTTGACTGCAATGCTGTGGATTCTGTTGTGTGAATAAGACATCACTTCAGCGTTGTTGTCAGTCTGCTGAGGCCAGCTAAATAAGGCCGAGTGAATGGGGGGGAACAATGTAAGGCGCAGACTGATGAAAACATCTTGTGCTTTAAATCGTGAAGTAAAGACTAAGAGGATGAGGTCATGAAACAGGAAGATGGAGATTAAGAAGGATGGGAGGCGGTTATATAATGAAATGCTGAAATTTCAGGATGGGACGGAAATTATGCCCCTCGCGTATTTTAAATCAGACGATTTAAAGGTGCAGCACAGGTCATAAAATAAAACCTGCCTGAGCTAAAAGCAATTTAAAAAAGAAAAAAAAAAACACTCTTAGTTATGGAGATGGCTTAATAATCTTTCATTTAGCAGTCCTTGTTTGGAGCGACAACTGGAGCAATACCTTTGTTTGTCCTCTGGCTTAAATGCACCCTCATTTGAATTTAATGTGATTCATCTGCAAAGGAGCAGAGAGGGGAAGCGCCGCAGGATGGAAATCCAGTTGATGAATGGCGCGGCTTCGACTCGATGTCGAATCTCTCCCCGCAACATCCTCCCTCCGCCAGGACCGTTTACACTCACACAGCCGAAATGGATGCTGCCGGGTCGTCTCCGTCCCACTCGAGCTGTGGCGTGGCCTTTTAATTGAGTTCATTCAGTCAACATTAAATAGTGTGTGACGGTGTATGCTTTTTTTTGCATGCTAATCATGATAAATTCACTCCAATTAAAAGGGAACCTGGAGAGGCATGTAGTCTCCAGGTCATGCTTTATATGACTTTAAGATAAGAATAACAAAGGATCTGGATTCCATTCATTTTGAAATGCACCTTTATCTCATAGGAGAAAGCAACTTATGATTCACCACACCTGCTTTGAATTATGGTGGCATCTAGTGGCCTTATGCAAGACAAATGGTACAAGACCCTTCCACTAACCAGTCATTTTTGATTCTTGGTTATAAAATTTGTGAAATGATTTACAAAGGCTTGGCTCTGACAGCTAGTTAAACATGCTAATTTTTTTAATTGACCAATCAGGAACAAGAGCTCACGTTGGTTCCTTCACAAAATATCAAGTGTTTTATTGGGAAAAGAAACTTCTTGATGTCCGTTTTGGTCTATGCATCAAAAAACGCCTATAATAATCTAAGCTAATGTCTCACTTACTCCACTTACTCCTTTATTTAAGCAGATTAACACAACTTTATATCTGTGCTGAATGTATTATAAGCTTATTTAAAACGTTCCACAGAAGCACAACCTGAAGATCAAGCATGTAATTTTGTCCCGGTACGAAGTCCAGGTTGGGCTATAAATCTAAACTTTAACACTTCTACAGAGCAAGAAATGCTAGTGGATGACGGCAATTTAGATCAATCTATTAACCCAACAATCATGATTTTGGGTTGTAGGAGGAAGTCTGAGTACGCCCAAGACCAAGTTTGAACCTGGGACTTTTTTGTGTAAGCCAACATTGGAAACAACTGTTGGACAAGTAGACGTCGGTTTTACAATACAAAGAAAACAAATATCTAAGCAGAATGAGCACATGGAGGCCTATAGTTAACATTGCAGATATTTTCCATGCGCTTCATCCAGTTAAACAGCATCTTTTAGGAAGAGACACTAGAACTGTGAAGGCTGCAGTAAGGGGGAAGAAAAGCTGATGCTCCTGGTGCTGGTTCCCTTTCTTATTCTTATTCTGTATGTGCAGCTAATTGTATATGCTCTATGCAGTAACTCAGCTAAGGGGAACAAATGACCCAGGAGTTGATGTAGACTCATAATATTCAGCGCTGTAATGGCAGGCCCTGGCATTATTAACCGTAATGCCATGGAAAATGTGATCAGTCTCTCTGCTCACTCAACCTCTTGTTCCTACTAGCAAGTTATGAATCTACAGTAAGTCGCAGTTACTGACACAGATCTTAAGGGCGGGGAAATACTAGGAGGGCGCCGCTGCATTGAGGCTAATCAAACCGACTTGTTTCAATTATTTGGTAAAATTAAAAAGATTGTAAACTGTTGTTTAACTGTGTCCTGGTCTAGCATTATAGCCATGTTACGAAACAGTTCAAAGGTGAAAAAAAAAAAAAAACTATTTCTGACAATATCATTATACAGTCCGAGTACTCAGTGTACTAAAATCTTTATGTATAATGCTATTAAAAAAAACAAAAAAAGAAAGAAATAAAGATGGCTCTGTCTAATTAAAATTCCCAAACGTGAGTCTGACAAACCGGCCAGCTGGTAATGTCAACATTGAGATTATACTTAAGACCTATTTCACTTTTATAACCTCCTTTAAAATTATGTTCAAATTCTAAATGTGGTTTATGGAAAGCTCAAAAGTCAGTCGAATTTTTCTGGAGGTTAACGACAGGTGTGTGTCCCAACCGATTTATCAATTGCTAAAGACAGAAAGTAGTGATGGTGAAGTTTCTGTCTTAAAGTTTGAATCCATACAGTCGAGATTAAAGTTGATAAGTCAGGTGAAGTGTTTCCTCAGAGGAGAAGTTTTGAGGTATTAAAATCCATCCTGACTCAGTAACCACTTTACATGCACACAGAATCGTAGCCACATTAGCTCAGCAACAAGCTGAGCAACAGCAGATGCTCCTGAAAAGTTATAAGCATTAAATCAATTGGACGGCAATGCATTGTGATGCTGACCCATTATACACTCAACATTTATAATTAGCAACGCTGTTTGTGTGGCGTCATTCTGGCTACAGGCTCTTGAAAGCCGACCTACGCAGCAATAGCTAGCAATGACGTGAGAGAAGAAATGGAGAATAACACTGGGTTACAAAAAAATCATTTTTTAGAAGTTGTTTATGTTTTTCTCAACTGAATCAGGATTATTTTTTCACCAAAAATAATCCAAAAATGACATCCATTTTTCTCAATCAGGTCAGGTTTTTATTCTAATTTGATTTAGAGAAATCTGATCCTCTGACTAAATTCATTACATTTTTGTGACATTATCACTTCATTTCTGTTAATATTTCTCATCCAAAAAAGGTTTTAGGTGGAAAAACTTGTTTGCACTACTTTTAGTTTTCTGCTTGTCTTTCCATAAATTTACTGGAGAATCCAAAAATAAAAAAAAAAAGATTGTGCTTTGCCTGGAGTCACCTTACACTGACCACAGTTGGTTCTTTCATCTCCTGTCTGTTTTTCCTCAGTCTCTTCACTGAGCACTTTTACTCTTTTCACTACGGTGGCAAATAACTCTGGTGATTAAAAACTAAAATTCTGTCAGAAGTCAAAAGAGCGCAACAAAATCTCTGCTTCAGTCCTAAGTAAGACCGTTCCCCTAAAGTGCAAATCCATGTATCAGCACGTTCCTCCGTACGCCGAGTCACCAGAAGGCTTTACATCAGCAGTTATGCAAGTCTCACTTTGATCCACATAATCAGTCTATTTTACCAGAGGGATTAACTGCACCACCCCAAAGAGGAGGGGAAAAAAGGAAAGTGGAAATACTGACAGTCAGACTGCAGCAGCAGTAAAATGACACGGATAAAAAGCGAGCTACAGGTGGAGGAGAGCTGTCCTTGGTTTGATGTAATCTGGAAGACGCCACAGGATTTCTACCAAAACGCATCGAAAAGAAGACTTGTATATTATAATGCTGTTAAGCAAGCTTGGACTCTTAGTTTTGTAACTTTGTCATTCAGATTTAAGCCTTTAAATCCACGTTTTATAATTGTTTTATAATCCATAGAGTTCGTCCTACTTTGCTGTTTGATCTGTGGTTTTTTTGTTGTTGTTTTTTTTTGTTGTTGTTGTCAAGAAACCAATTCATTATGTTTACAACAAGTTTCAAGCTTCGAGACGGAGCCATCGCAGGTGTAATGTCACTCTGCTTTCTGTTTTTTCTACCGGAAGCACTTTCATATGTAGGATCACTCACTAATGTGCTTTGAAAATCAACATAAAGCGAAATATGGGTGCATACTTTAAATATTCATAGAGTTTCGTGCTTAAATTTGTTGCTACGCACTTTAAGAAAACCCCACAAACACATTAATCACAAATTTCCCCCTCATCCTAAAAAAACCCCTCTACTTTTCCCTCTCTGTTTCTGTTCAGAAACTTTGAAGATCAAGGCTTCCTGATTGCCTACAATGCCAAAACCTGACAAACTTTCTCCAGCTTTGTACTAACTCTACCACCTGATGTTTTTTTTTTTATTATTATTATTTTATTTTTTTCTCCTGTGATCTTTTTCAGAGGAAAAGCCAAAGGCAGAGGGGGAGGAAGAGGAGCCCCTGACAGGGAAGGATGAAGAGGAGCGACGTATAGCAGAAATGGGCCGTCCCATGCTGGGAGACCACGTCAAACTGGAGGTCATCATCGAGGAGTCGTACGAGTTTAAGGTGAGAAAGCTGGCGCTCCCCTTTTTTTTTTCTTTTTTTTTTTGTAGTTGCGGCTTTAATTTGAGCCTTGCTGTTTGATTGAACGCATTTATGTCGGGGAGGCTGCTGTTCAGTCATCCTTTTAGACACTTGCTTTTCTAAAACTGTATTTTAGTGCCATTTTTTTTCTCAGAATTTCCCCCTCAGGCCTACAGAGAACTCTTCAAAACACAAAAACTCCTGCTGGATCGAAGTGCTCCTCCGGTTCCAGTCGGTTTATTTTAATTTTGGCTACAGTCGACATAACGGCATCAAGACTAAAGAGAACAACTTGACCTTGCACTTCACCTCAACGTGTGTGTGTGTGTCTGTGTGTGTGTCTGTGTGTGTGTGTGTGTGTGTGTGTGTGTGTGTGTGTGTGTGTGTGTGTGTGTGTGTGTGTGTGTGTGTGTGTGTTTGAGATGAAATCCGCTCCACCCCATCAGTCTGAGTTTAAATGGTAATCCGTAAAGTGATTGCAGTATTTACTCATGACCTTGAACAATGAGGGGATTCAGTTACGGAGCAGTTAGTTTAGAGACAGATTGAGGGGGAAACACACACACACACACACACACACATTGGAAAACATCATTAATCATTACTGGGAATGGGCAATGAAACGCAAGGAAGATACAGAATCCATCAATGACAAAACCGGTTTTTGTTTCAGTAGTCAGTCCCGTCAAACGCTGTTGTACATTGATTTTGCGAGTCGTATTTAAAAAGTCATCTAAATATTAGGTTGCTATGAAGAAACAGTGGTTCACTTCACTGGTTTTATTGGATCTGACATAACCTAAGGGGGACAACATGTTTGTCCAAATCTCTGCATTGTCTGTTTTTTTTTTGTTTTGTTGTTGTTGTTTTGTCTGAGGAACCCGACATTAAATTGATCTTGTTTGTTTGCAGAAGCTTTAAAAGTTTTTATATATATTTGCTGCCTTTGCTTGGGTTCCTGTTGGACACTCCATGAAGAGATCTTGATAAATACCTGCTGAAATATCAATCTGAAGACAGTTTGATTGGAAATGCTAAGCTGAAGATAAATGACAAAATGCATTAAAAATACCAATAATCAAACCAAACTGTGTGATCAATAAAGGATAAATAAAACTAGATTAAATAAAATTAGAAAAATAAGTCATGGCAGCTTTTGCTGAAAGATCCTTCACATTGGTGTTGAAATTTTGGCAGAATAAATTCACCAAACTCTCATAAATATCTGCATTATTTGACTGACTGACGATACACATGCGCTCAACCTTAGAGAGGCAAACGGGTGCACATCAATCACAAGGTTACTCAAGTGCACACTTGCAAAGTTCAACGTCAAGAGAATTTACAAATGTACGTGTTTGAACTATAGCATGTTGTTTTTTATTATTATTGTTATTATTATTATTTGCACTGCAGATGTTACGGAGCAGCTTTACTGTTTATTTGCGATGCGCCTACAAACCTACACAATCGCCGTGACCGAACAGTGGGAACGCAGCACCGCTCCAGTGTACACACTTTGGCATCACAGAGTCTGCTAAAGGCAACGTTAGCATTGTGACGAGGACACCAGCTGCCCTGTAAACACCTGCCACTTAGGCCGTGTGACGGCCTTTCTGCCCAGCTCAGGGGAGCATTAACTTTCACCCACAACGAGAAGCTTTTGCTCTGTGAAGTGGCTTCAGTCTGTCTTTGAATGCTTAGAGAGAAAAGGTCTCAAAAGGCAGTGAGGGAAAACATCCCTGCATCCAGTGCGACGTTAGTCTCCATGTATGAAGACAAAATGAGAAGCGCTTCCTATTTTCACAGCCAACTTGAAATAAAGTCGTATTGATTGCCCCGCATTAAGTTGCACAAATGCCCCACAAAACCCACTGCCACATGTTGCAGACAATCGAACCTCCTGGAAGCAAACGGGAAAAGAGTCGCATCACATCTGTGTGTCGCTTTCTCGTTTCTCCCACGCGCTCCTTTCTTAAGACGGGCTTAGATGTAATTACCATCAATGTTGCGTTTTGTGTGCGCTAATGCATGTTCTCCTGCCGGTCGCTCCACCTACACACGCTCACTTCAGACAGACAATTAATAACTCCCAGTAATGGCTTGCTGCTTGACGGGGTCCCGTACTTCGTCGAAGGCTCCGGCGCATGAAATTATACTTCTGTGTGCATCTTCGTGGAATTGGATCCCGTAGTTATCCGACGCGGCGCCCGTCAGCCGGCTGTGGAGTGGCACGGAGTTTGACGTGAGGCGACAAGAAGCAGACTGAGCTAGACTTAAAGAAATGAGATGTATTTCATATTAATGCTGATTACACAGTTTATAAGGGGGAAAAAATGTGGTCTTAAAAATTAGCACAGATGACTAAAACGTTCCTGCATTTCTTCTGGGTACTCAGCTTTTTCACATTTCCAAAGTTTCACCCTTTTGTAAAACTCCAAAAAGCAAAGTCAACGTCCACGAATGACATCCAGACGATGAGATATTCCAAAAACCGTGCTGTCCGTGCATGAATGTTCACTCCACATGCAACAGAGTGAAAATGGATGGAAGTGTGTGTGTGTGTGTGTGTGTGTGTCTGTGTGTGTTGTTTGGGAAGGAGGAGTTTCACAGCAGCGGCGAGGCACTGTTTATGTCCCTGAGCACCATTCAAGACAATTAGCATCTCATTTTTCTTCAGAAGTGCACAGAAAGAAAGAGCGCCATTCCCACTGCTCCTTTGATTAGCATGTGTGAGTGATTGCGTTTGCTCGAGTGTTTGTGTTACCGTAATCTGCCATGATTCTTTCCTTTTTAAGGATTAGCTGACATCCAAAAGCTGAGAAAACAGTGAGAGCAATCAAGCAAAAAGCAGAAAGTCTGAGACTGAATGGCGTTTTGGGGAAAATGCAGAAACTGTCTGAAATGAATTCAAATAACTGATAAAGATATACGGAGGAGCTACGTGAAGATGATCGAGTGCAGTAAAAAAATGGAGTAAAACAATTAACATATTGAACCTGAATCTTTGAGTGGATCTAAACTGGTTTCCGTTCATAACATCTTTATTTTATGAGACAAATCTTGGAGTGTTTTTTTTTGGTAACTTCAAAATAAAACACCAATAAAGCAAACAGCTGTGAGGTATCTTGTTTAAAGAAGTGATGAGCTTCTATCAGCAGAGGTCTCCTATCGCTTGGCTTTGACTATTCTGATAGAATAGGATGTTATTACAAACACATGTTTTTTTAGTTTCTTGTGTCGATCTCAATCTTTGACGATGTTTGATTTGTTGCTCATCGTTATTCATTATCAAAGTTTCCAAAATCTCTCTGCTGAAGCATAAAACTATTTTTTTCTATTCCAAGAAGTAATGCTGTGTTTTTCAGTTGCATATGAAACTGAAAGTAGAAAAACATGGAGATTATAGTTTCTTGCTTTAAACTGATTGTACGGTGAAGTTGTTGAATTATAGCGACACTTAAAAGGAGTGCTTTTTGGTTTATTGTATTTTTTCCTCAACAAGGTGAATAAGGCAAAATTTTTATCTTTGTATTTTCCGTCAACAGGCCGAGTTAGTCATGAAAATTTACCGCATTGCTTGACATGAAGCTGGAATTGAGTTGGCAGTAATCCTAGATCAGGAGACTTTTTTTATTATTATTATTATTTGAAATACAGTCAATCGTGTAGATATAAGACCATTTCTTATTGTTTTTATTTCCCTTCATTTTTATGTTTTGATTCAGACGGTAGCCAATTTCCCTCTTCAGTGACTTTACTCTTTTCTCTCTTTCTCTCCCTCTCTCTCTTAAAAGTGATGGTTGGTTCCCGTCTTTTCTTGCTGTTAATTTCAAGGCTCTGACTGGAAAAAAATAAATCAGAAGAAATGTTGCCCTTTTTAGCTTACGTGACCGTGGCTCCGACTACTAACCTACCCGAATAATGACCTGAAACGGAAATTCCGTCTTCAGTAATAAGAATCGTCTTTTATTCCTTTGCGTCTTAACAGAACACGGTGGACAAGCTGATAAAGAAGACCAACCTGGCTCTGCTGGTGGGAACCAACAGCTGGAGAGACCAGTTCATCGAAGCCATCACTGTCAGCGCAGGTAAGGGCCACGGCAAATAGAAACTGGGCTTCACGCGCCTGGATTCGGCTCTCCGCTTCATCTGGACACGCTTAATGATTTCTGTGAAGCACGTGCTTAATGGTGCGATGAATTGAATTTACTTTTAATAGGAACAGCTGCGGTTTTATGTCTTTTGAGGCCCCTCACGCGCTCCGCTTCACGCATGCAAATGACGAGCACAACCTGAAAGATTAGAAAACCTGAAAAATTAGAAAATGGAGTAATATCACGTACCCGATGGTTGGTTGGGTGTAGGTGTTGGTTATATTTGTTCTCGAATGGCTTTTAAATGATAAACTCTGACTAAATGGGATATGATGAAAGAAAATGCCATATAATTTTACCTGTTAAAGGGGGAAAAAAACATCCCTCAGTTCATTTTGGGTCCTTCAGCTCCTCTTGCAAAAGTACTTTTGCCTCTAGTGGTTAAATAAGTTTGAAAGTTGGGTAACATGAGTTAAATAGCAGAGATGTATAGCAGTTGATGAGTTTTTTAAGTTAGCTGCAATACAAAAGGTTTTGGCTTCAAAAAATATCCAAACACAGTTTAAAGACGACGTGCCCAGCAAAAACACAACATGCACAAAAAAATGATTTTATTTTATTTTTATCAAACACTGACCAATCACATCCTAAAATAAGTCAACCACCTGAATTTTCATATTCCATTTACATAAATGCTAATTTAGATATTAATGTTGTGAATTTTATCCTAAGAATGTTTTCACACCTGATAGTCCGGTAGACTCGGTTTGATTGGGGACCAAATTTGCAGCATTAGTTACATTTTCAGCCAATGCGGTTCACTTTCACCCTGCCTGTTCCCCTCCTCACCTATGGTGGCGCCGCAACAAGAACCACTGAAGGAAATACACAAAAACCTCTGAACAAGACACTGAGAGCAAGTTCTTTTTCATAAAATGCAAACAAAAATGAAGTGGTGTCAGAATTTAGCGGTTGTTGGATTTCTCTTTCTCCTGCTAGTGCTAGACTCTCCCATTTGTTTTGGTTGTATTTACCCAGAATGCCTTGTGCTACAGTTGGCTTCCTGCTTTTGGAGCGGGCTCCGGTTCTGCTTGGCATTCACATTTGCATTCAAACTGTGCCAGGGAGTTTGCTTTCTTTGGTCTGCATCAGAGTTTGATTACACATTCACACCACCCCAAACAAACCAGACTTTCTTGGCAAGCGAACTGGGGTTTAAAGCAGACTAAGCAGGGCTAGTTTGAATTCACTGTAGGTTACACAACAGAAGACAACAACTTTATTTAAGACCTTTTCCTCACTTTGAGGTTCCGCTCTAAGTTGGTAGCGATTCAGAGCATGCATCCCTTCCAGCCTCAGAGTAATTCGGAGCCCTATCTGCTGCTCTTGTGAAAAGATTAATTGTATGATAAAGGAAGATTCGCTGCAGCGCCTCATGCTAGCACAGCTCTCCATGTTTACAGGCTTATTATTGTTTACTGGAGAAAATCCGCAGCGTCCTCATTATCTGCGGTTTATGCTGTCTGAGCATATCAAAGGTGAAGGTCATACCTCAATAACTGTACAATCAGGGACACACACACACACACACACACACACACAAAAGAAACAAAAAAAAAACTATTAGTTCTGGCATGTGAACGTAATCCAAATAATTGAATTGATAATTGTGATGTGCAGCTGAAAAGAAATCTTGTTTGTTTCAGACCCATTTATGTAGAATCGTTGTTTGGAAAGCTCATACACTTAAGTGTCTCCAAATTAGTTTATCTGGTAGGTTTCTGTGTCTTTGTGCTTTTTTTGGAGAGCTTGTTCCACAAAAAAAAAAAAAAAAAAACCTGTCTTTACTCTATTATCTGGGACTACAGTGACAGAGTTCAGTGGGTGGGTGTTGAAGCAATAGAGAGAGCACAGTTTTCCCCTTTCATAAAAGCATTTATTTGGACACATTCTTGGTCTTATGGCACACATGTGGCATAAGAAATCACATTTACAATAACTACGTTTTTGCTTAATTAAATCATTTAAATCCTTAAAGATAACATACCATACAAAATCCACATTACTTGCCCTTAAATGCATTATGTTGTGTGCTTGGAGTATCTAGTTGAATTTAGTCTCTCCTAGTGCTGGGTAGAGATCTTTATATTCTTCTTGGGTCGTATTTTTCAGTGTGTTCAGTTTTCTCTGTCCCCTGTTACGTTTTTTTTTTAAACTATTATGTCAAAAAGTATTTGCTGTGGAAGTGCTGAACAAGGTCATAGACTTTCAGCCAGCTGTTTTCGCTAATCGGCCATTTTTATTTCTCACGGCAATTTTTTAATTTAATTTCAAGGATGCCAAATCTATAAGCGGATATGTCAAGATGTTTACTTATTAACCCACACAGTTCATTCCAACGTTCCTCAGCATCATGGTGACTGAACTTCTCATCTTTGAAGGGTTGTCAACCTTTGGTGGGGGTCCATGTCCTAGAAAAATTAAGATTTAACCAGGCAGTTTTAAAGAAGTTCAGACTTTCTTTGATTGAGGCGCCTTCTGCTTATGTTAGCTTTTAACTCCTTGAGGAGATAACCGTACTGCGTGTTTTGAATAGTATTACATCAACAATTTGGCATTGTTTTTAACTTTTTTGTCTTGGAAAATTATCCGAATGATGCAATGATGTTCTTGGCGCCAGCATTAGCTGCTATCAAACTCCAGAAATGGGTGGAGTGGAACGCTGTGCAGCCTGGAGGAGGCGGGTGTGAATTCCTCATTCATATTTAAAGAGACGGCACTAGAATGAGTTTCTCTGACGCATCTCAGAAAGGGATAGATGGGCTTGTGGAGCTACAATAATGAGCAACTCATTTTGAGACTACAGCATGGCAGTTCCACTTCATATCTACAACAACTGAATGATGTCAATGTGAAACAGAAGGATTTAAAAGCAGGATACAGTATATCCACTTTATCACACACAAGAAAATATATACGTTTGTGTGCACTAGGCAAGGAAAACAGAGAGTATTTTTCTTTTTCCTTTTTTTCTGGTTATTTAAACATGAAGCCAGTTCAAAACTCTGAATTGAAAGTTTTTGAGAATGAGAGCTGATTGGATGCTTGAAGATCAAACCAGCAGTTTACTTCCAGCTGTGAAGCAACACACGAGCGCGGGGAAAGTGAAGAGGGAGCAGGAGGGCGCCAACGGGGCTGACGAGAGAAGTCAGGCTCATGCTGAGTGTTAAAAGTGAAAGCACAGAAATGTTTATGCCTCGATTCTCATTGCAGCCTCTGTGGTTGGTATATAATACACAATGCAATATAAGTCTGCAATTCTGATGTACATACAGAAAAGTGTTCAAGTTTGAAGTATGTTCATTGTCAGCTATGTCCTCTGTTTTGCTTGGCTAAGGAACTTACAAGTAAATCTTCCTTGATGGGAAGAATTAATATTACTAAAATTCAATAAAAAAAAATAGAACAGAAAAATGTTTTCTAAATCCTCAGTATTTGTTTTTCTTATACAGTTAAGAGAGGTTGATGATTGATGATTTCTCTCCACAGATATGAAAAACACGCTATGTCACATCTATGGATGTAAGTGGATGATGAGTTAATATTATACCATATTAAATGTATAATGTGGTTCTGAAGGTAAGGTGATTTTATTTATATAGCAGATTTTCAGCAACAAGGCATTCAATGTACTTCACATTGAATGCCTTTGTATTTACGAAGAAAATACAAACAAAACAACAAACCAAAAGAAAGATGAAAAGGTAAAAATATAAAACTACATACTGTTTCCTATAGGTTTAATAAGAATAAGTAGTCCGTAATTTATAAAGTAGTCGGGGTTTCTTTTTGTTCTGATAAAACTAGATGTTGATTCTCCATGTTTGTTTCGACAAAGTAGAAAAGAAAAAAGTCAAAGATTCAAAACAGAGGATCAGGTGTGGCTAAGAAAAATGATGCATATTTAGCTCAGCAAAAGAGAAAGACGTACCAAAACAATGAAACAATGAATTTGAATTAATAACATAAAACAAAACTGAGGCTTGAAGTAAAACCCAGAGGGATTTTGTGTAGAAAGGTGAGGCTTTAAGTTGCTTCTATTAACTATTGCTCATAAACTCAAATATCAAATCAAAGTCTTAATTTTATAAAATAAGTCTCAATACAAGTTAATTTTGTTATTGCAGAACGTACAATCCTTACAACTTTTTAGGTGCAACAGTGTTTATGTAAAATATTTATTGTCCACTTGGGTGCTTTAAAAAGTCACATTAAAAATTGCATTATAAAAATATGTGCTAACATCTCACTCATGTGCTTCCTTGGACTAGCCAGCAGCACGGACAGAGCGACTCTAAACGTAGAGGTTGACCTTGGCCTGTTTCACATCTGCAAACAACTCAAAGAGCAGCTTCAAAGCTTTTCTTAGCCAACAGAGGCCTCCCTGTGCTTTAGCCAAATGTTTTCCGCAGGTCATTTTGTAAATAAAATGGACTGTTTTTTTTCTTCTTTTTTTGCACATATTGGATTAGTGACGCTGGAACAGACTGGAACTGTTTGGATTTTGTTTCATGTAGAACTCGCATCGACACGCCATGGAAACTGTTACACAACGAGCCCAAATGTAGACATGATGTAACGTGATGGATCATCCCTTCAGATACACGCTGCTGCTTCGAGGCTTTGAAGTCCAGAGCATCTGTCACCGATACTGTGGTGGATTTAATATCTACGACAGATAAGCTTTGTCTAATCTTTCTTATTTTCTATCCTCCTCATTGCCTACAGTATGATCTCTTATCGCCTCTCAGATGTTGGGATCGAAACAAAGAACTTTAGGCCGTTTTCAAACATGTTTACATCTTGACCGAACACATCCTACGCCGTCATCTTCAGGCTTCAGGAGTCAAATCTAGATCTTGTCCTTTTTTATTTTGCCAAAACGCTGGAGAAGATTGAAGAGTTCAGCTTTAAATCAGCCCATCTGTTATGAAAACGGCTATGGGAAAACATTTAAGACCGTACCTTAATCTGACTACATCATTACGTCTATTAAACACACCCAGCAACTTTTATGAGATCTTTATCTCAAAGCACAAAACCTGGATTTAGAGAGTCTTTAAATCCTCCAAAATGTCAACGAGTTGATGCGGTGTGTGTGTGTGTGTATGTGGGTGTGTGTATGCGTGTGTATGTGCATGTTCATACTTTTGTGGGTTTCCAGCTCTGTGATCGGTGGCAACTGGAGACAGTTACTGATATTACACGGTGAAGACTGACCAGAAAACAGGAAGCAGTGATTGCTGTGTGCAGTACAGTTAACGTCAGGGAACAACAACTTTCGCTTCAACACAGAATGGTGTAAAATTTTCTCTAGAGCCTGTTTTTCAGAATGAATTTTATTCATTTGTGTCAAAATTAACAATGAAATTAGTAAAAGAAACTACTAATAGGTAAAAGAAACTACAAATTTCACTTTCAATATATTATTGTACATTGTATCTCAATGAGCACATTAGGTTTTATAACGTGACAAAATGTGAGAAAGCGTAGCAGGCCCGAAAACGTCTGCGAGATGCTGCAATCGCCAAGGAACAAATCAGGTTTGGTGCTCATAATCTGAGACACTGAAAGGAACTTCCTAATTGCTCTTGCTTGACATCTTCGTTACATGCGTGAAAACATAGATGGAAATAATTAGTGGCCATATGATGGGTATACATTGCGCATGCTGCCCAGAGGGCGAATTAGACCCGTGTGTGCTAATAACACTTTCTGCCACGTCTCTGCCCTAAAGGTTATTTATGGCTCAAAGTTGAATGTGGTGACGAAACGTTCCCTAAATGTTTGCGTATGTCACCACTGACTGAGCCCGACTCCAAAAAGATGTGGGATAAGGGAAACGTATTGACAGGCTATTGGAGGGACGTAATTAGTTTAAATTTAGAGCTTCGTTCTTCAGTGGCTGCAGAGGAACGTTTCGTATGGTTTTATGGCAGCTGAGGATATCTATGGCCTGGAGCTTTTCTCAGCAGTAATGGAAAGCAACATCTGACTAGGACATTAAAAACTGCGCTGATAATGTGGCTGAAGTGAGTCAAATGACTCGACTACTGAAAAAGGACAGAAATCTTCGACCCGTTTCGGTTTCACGCAACAAGGCTCTATATTGTTTGGCTTTTGCTGTTATAAGTGTCATTAAACCTACAGCCACTGAACGTGAGATTTAATCTGGTGGAACAAGTGTAAGTTACTCTAAGGAAGCAGAGCAAGCGCTCACGTTCCCTCTTAATAAATGATTATTCTTTTGTATTTTATGCTTCATTCACCCCCGAAAAAGCGAATTCTGGTGCGTCTAAAAGGCTATGTGTCGGTTTGATTGATGTGAACTCTGGTGAAGTTCTAATGCATAAGTGAATGCCAAGCAGGCTCCATTATTAATATTTTCTATTGGAGCGACAACCAGATGCAGCCTCTCAAGTTAAGCATAAACTGCAGGTTGAATATGAGTTCGGGGGAAAAAACCTTAAATGATTATATGTGTCTGATTGTAGTAAAGTGAGAACAGTCTGGTGACTTCAAGCATTTCTACACAGATTTTTTGCAATCTTCTGGAGGAAATTGAGTCCCATTTGTGGTGGTAATGATACCTTCTTACCAAAGAATCAGGGCCCTTCTGCCTAGAAATGCATGTGGTATTGAAAACATTTCAAAAAGGAACATCATGTTCTGGGCAGAAATGGTGCCGTACTCGAGCAGATCAAACACATAATCTTAGGCCAGAGACGCCGGCACCTCATGAACACAATAGCCTTCATGCAGGCGTGTCGGACGTCCTGGTAACCCTCATCTAACACTAGATAATTGACAAATTTGGAGATGGTTGACGTATGATTGTCCACAGATCTGACGGAGAGGCGCAATTGTTAGTGATTTAAGCACAAAATGTCAAGAAAAAAAGATAGCAATGCTGTAGCATCCCTGACTAATCAAGATTTCATTCTTCATAGGTCTTGATAACTAAAATATTTAATGGCTGCAGCCCAGCATAATATTTTATTAACTTGAAAAGAAAATATACCAGTTTAATTCAGGAGAGAATGCATGAAAATTACATTCAAACACTCCAAATGTCCATATGCTTTGGTTAAAGAATGATTAAAGAAATGGAAACGAGTAGATTTTTTTTTTCTAGTGATGCAAGAGATTGCATCACTTTTCTAACAAGATTGGAGCTTAACAATTGTCTCCTGATATTGTTACTGAATAAAAGCGGCAACCTTGACACGTCGGTTCTCAACAAAGTTTAGAAGCAAAAACCTTTTTTTTTTAAAAAATCTCTTTTCCTTCACAATTAAATAAGAATTTTTCAAACCTTCACCACGGAGGTATTAAACAGTGCAGTTTACCTCTTATAAAGCAGAATTACTTTGGCCTTAAGCCAGGTAATTCTGCTGTAAGACCAGAATCACACCAGATATCAATGCTATGTTGTGTGTCTGTGATGACATATTACATGTAAATACTACAAATTCACGTTGTGTACGACTACAGTGAAAAACGAATCAGAAAATTTCACTAGGAAGGAGCGCACTGTAATTTATCGACTTGTTTGAGTGTTGCTCAAACAAGAAACAAAACGGATTTAAAGCAGGCAGAGCAAAACAGGAGGGCCAAAAGCCCTTCTAATAGCAAATTAAAAACTACACCCTTGAGACGGCGGCATAACGAAGCCAATTTTCAAGTTGTATCCTGTTTGCTAAATGAATTGAGAGAAAACATCGTGGTGTTATGGTCGAAAAGGGGAATAAACAAGACGAACTGGAAGGCACATGCAGCGACAAAAGGGGAAGAAAACAATGGGAGGAGTGGAGAGGGGGGGAGGGAAAATCAATGGACAGGAAATCAAGGTGCTGAGGGGGACTGCTACGACAACGAATGAGCGGGACAAAGAGAAGGGAGAGAAAAGATGGATGTCCAGCCACTCCTCACTCCACTGCCCTCTAATTACTGAATCCACATTGTTGTTCAATCACCCGCTCCTCTGTGAGGGCGTGTTATTTATGGGCGTCTGTGTGTCCACTCCCGAGGGGAACGTAGGTAATGTGGCACTCAAGGAAAACCACTGAAAGAAGACAAGTACAGAGAAAAGGTGTATTTGTGTCGGAAGTTAGAGGATGGGCCATGCCAATAAGGTGAATGGATATAAAGATAGGGAAGACGTGAGTAGAACGGCATCAGGCCCGACTAAGAGCTTCAGCCTGCTTTAAAGGGGCAGTATTACGTAAAATCAGCTTTTGAGTTTTGCATCATGTCATTATGTTCTTCCCTCATCAAAATCTGTTGAACTTATTATGTGAACTGTTGCTCAGTCCTGTGCTCCCATGAACGTTTGCAAATGCTTAAAAGAAGAATAATGTTGTCGTGACGACAGCGAAACGACAGAGCAGAAGCTTCTTAAAGAGACAGACGCCCGATTTCAAGGTGTCAAACTGCAAAGTCAAATTTCTTCTGCGTCATGTTCGATATGCAGCATTCTTATAACACCTGAAGGTGACATAGTTACTTTATTGAGCTATGAAGTGATACTATGTGGCCCCAGAATGCATAAGACTTCCCCTTTAAGCTTTATCCCTGTGTTCATGGTGTTTAACATGCTTCAATGCATCAAAAAAAAAAATCTGAGGCCCTGCTTAAGCCACACATGAGCTCTATCTACTCTAATAGAAATGCAAGCCATGTTTTCAAATGTCAACGTTTATTGCCTAATGTTAAAAAGTGTTGCTTAATTTGTTTAACTATCCTGACTGCATTGACTTGTAAGTGTTTTGGGGGTGACAGTTAAGGGTCATAAATGATTTTTGCAGGGCTCTGTATGTTTTTATTTCCATGCACTGGCATAAACAAATCCCAAAATTGTCTTCCCACTGTCTCCCTCGAACAAAAGGCTTTTTTTCCCCCCCTGTAACTTATAGATGATGAATAAGTGACTCACCAAATCGCCGATTATTTAATTGATGTGTTTATCACAGACTGTCAGAGACGGGATGACTTGTTCGATCATCAACCCAGAAACCGACTGTGTTCAAAACGGTACCTGAAATTCAAATGTGCTTCACGTGGATGGACAGGAGATCTTTCCGGGCCAGGAATCGAAAGGCTGGCTCAGGCGATGCTTGAAAGTCCGCGACGAACTCCAAAGCGAGGTTTCGGCTCAGAGCTCGAAGCTTTCGTGCGGCTGGAGGACCTGCCAGCCTGACTCCGGGTCTGTGTTTCAGCGTGTGCCCGACAGACGGCCTGACGGGACCGCTGGTGCATGAATACAAACATGAGCATGTCATTGGGGATTCTGGCAGACAGGCCACGCTCACATAATTAGTCACACAGCTGTCCGACTGCAGCACGTTTTTTAAAAAAAAAAACAAAGTCTCTTTTAAATTACGAATATATGGTTGTTTACTCAAAACAAAAAAGTTTTTTGTTTTTTTTTAAAGCATGAAGTGAATAGGAAAAGACTTTGAAGCTCAAGAAATAATGTGAGGCTTGTCTAAGGCCTGTCAAATCTATTTTCTAGTGGTTTCAATAATCAAAGTGATTTACTTCTGTGGCTGCACTGAAATCTTCAAAGTCCAAGTGACGTTGATAAGAGGCGTCAGCAGGGACAGGTGATGAATTGTCTTTCCCTACTCCGTGTTGGTGATGGTTGCCGCAGTGACCGTGAGTTACTCGTCTGTGCCGACGCCGCGCCTCTAAGGACGTAACGCAGCATTAAGACGGCAACATTTTTTTTCTCATCATGGCGAAGTTTCTTGCAGAGCAGCTCCAAGTTGCTGTCAGTGCACAACTTTGTGTGGTGAACCAACATTAAGCTTTCCCATAATCTGTACAGAGGATCTCACCGCTTCTAAGTCATTTGTGGTACTTGGTTGAAAAGATACAGATGGCTTATGGACGCTGCCAGACTGCAAAAATTACACAAAATCTTACCAAGTATTTTTGGTCTAGTTTCTAGTGCTTCAAATAAGACAAAACTAACTTACAGCAAGAAATTTGGAGCTTGTTTTAAGTCAATAATTCCTTCATTTTAATTTTAAAAAGTACTAATTATAAGTGGAAAAAATCAAGTATGGGGAAATGTCTTGTTCCACTGGCAGATTATTTAACTTATAGCGAGTACTTTTCCATCAATACTAAGGAAGTGTGGATTTACCCTATTTTCTGCTGAAAAGTGACTTGTATCTTAGTTTTGTCTTATTTCAAGTGCACTAAGAAATTTGCACTAGAAACTAGACCAGAAGTACTTGGTAAGATTGTGTGTTTTTTTCCAGTGAAGTTCAAAACTAAAGGGCTAATCACTGGTTTTAATGAGCTTTGACTAAACTTGGTCATCTGTTATCTTAAGTACTAATGATAAAACAGAAAAGTCATTTTAGTTGTTGACAAAGTTAATGAAAGAGATTTACGGAAAGTATTGAAATAGTCAAAGCTACACCACAAGGCTTTATTTAGAGTGGCAGCATTATGTTTCCCAGGCACATAGTGCCATTTTATAGCACAATCAAGTATAAACTTCAGGTGTTAAGAAAATGCAATATATGTATGAAGTGACTTTGTAATGTAACACCTTGAAATTGGGCCAATGTCTCTTTAAAAACTCCTACTCTTTCTGAAACTCATCATGACATACATCATTGTAACATCGCTCCTCTGTGAACCATTTAACATTTTTACCAGCGTCTGCACTGAGAGGTATAGTGAGCTCAGCAGATGCGCAGTTCAGTTTGCTAATTGCTGCTGGCTAGTCTGAAGGAGCCGAGTCACGGCGTTGCAGGGGAGGGCTGCTCTGCTAGGCTGTGCTAGGTCCACACAGGTGTTTTGCACAGCTGAATTGTTGACATGGGTGATGAAAGGATTTCTCAAATATGCATGAAAGAATCAAGGCAACACTCGAGGTGTGCTTTGATGAGGGAGTGACATTACAACAAGACGTAAAGCTCGAAAAAGTCGATTTTACATGATGCTGCCCCTTTAAAAACACACGTTTAAGGAGAAATCAAAATGAAACCTGTAATAAGTGACGTCTCCTTTCCACCGTAAGAACTCCTTCCTCCTCTCCTCGTGCGGCGGGACGCGATTAGAGAGAAATTCTTTCTAGCAGCCGAGGTTTTCCTGCGCCGCAGCTTATTTGGCCACATCAGTTTCAAACTGCGTCGCTCGGCCGTGGGCCTGGATGAGAGCCCTGTGTAAACACACTGTCAGGCGGGATTCTTCCAAATCTCTTGTGCACAGACCATATCACTTAAAGAGCAGAGCGCTGTAGGCGGACGTAGTCATGGACACACACCTCGCTTGGCTAGCGGCCTGTAGAAACAAGCCGCAGTTCATCATCGTCTGTCAAACCCTACGAGATTGCGACCTTTGAACAGTATCGGCGAGCAGCAAGAGGCGAGAACAATCTAGCACCTCTGCAAGGCAAGAGAGAAAAGTGTGGTGGACGACCTACTTATAACTCAGCTGGAATAAATTGCATTTTTTTTCCCCCCCGAATAAACCAAATCAATTGGAAATATCACTTTGCGCACACGAATTTGCAGCTGTTTGCTCTAATGAGGTAACAGCACAAAATAATGAAATGTTACAATAATACACACACACACAATGGAGAGAGATTTGCCATGAGATTTAAAAGGTAACAGAACATTGCAGATGAATGCATTAAGCTATATAAAGATGGTCAGAGAATGAAAAATGCTCTGAAGATGGAACGGGGGAGGGGGGAGAAATGTGGAAACTGGAGGAGAGATAAATATAAATGTGAGCCAGGCAACAGAGTGAAGGTAGAAGTGAGGATGAGGATGGGTGCAGTTATACTAATATTGAAATCAGAATCGGGTTTTATTGGCCAGGATTGTGTGTGTAACCAAGGAATTAGATTTTGGAATTTGAGTGTTCAACGAAAAACAGACATTGTAACCAAAACATCGACTTTAGAGGAAATAAAATAAAGGATAAAAGGAATAGTACGTGCATGTTTCTAAAGTTACACTTTCAACCATACTTTAGCTGTAGCATAACTTCCATGACACTAAAGCAGCTAAGCCTCAAAAAACAAATATAGTTTGCTTATTTTACACTTGCATTGCTCCAAAAGCCCCAGAAGCCTCGTTCACTTCCAGTCAAAAATGATGCCATCTACTTCAACCCAAAACAACGCAGATACCCCGGTGTTTGAATCCAAGGTAGCATTTCAAAAACATGGAAAATGTCCAGGCAAAATCTATTATTTACATCTACAAGTGACGCTTGCAGATAAAGGAAGACAGAGATCGGCGCTGTTAAAGACACACCAACACTATGCAAAGTGGAAGGGCAGGCAGTGTGAGAAAATGGCTCCAGTCAGCTATGATGGAGTGTGTGAGCAGGAAGGAGAGCTGCTGACGGTATGAAGTGACATAACTCAGATGACTTGGCTCGTTTTATAATTCATGGCCGAGCGTCTCTGCCTGATTGGAGCCTTTATACGTCATGACAGCGTCGCCTGCTGCACTGACCTTTTGCCGTTTGTTTGTGCTTGATGGTTTCAGCCATTATTTTTAATTACAGGTTCTGTGGCGCCTGTAGAAGATGCATGGAAGTACTTTAAAGTGGCTTACCAACGTTTGTGTTGCTGATCAACGCAAAGCTGCAGAAACTGCACACCTCAGTTGAATTCGCTTGGCATTTACAGAGTGAATAACCGTGTTCCCTTAAATTGCCAGATCCGAATGTTTCCTTTATAGTCGGGTAATCGAATTAGCTTTTAGCAAAAAATCAAAAAGCTTTGTTGTTTCTAAGAGCACCAGACTACAAATACTTGGAAAC